CTGCTGAATAATCTGAGCTTAGTCTTATTGTTTCTCCTCTGTATGTGACTTCTTGTTTTTCATGAGCTGCTCTCAGGATTCTTTGTTTGTCTTTATCCCTAGGGGATTTTTTAATGTCAATTATTTAAATACAAATGCTCACAGTGAAAAAGGTTATCTTTCCCAAAGTTTTTAACAAATCCTGAACTTGACTTTTATTGATCTAAGTTAAGGAATCACTGTGACCCAAGAAGTTGAATCCACTGATGGACTTAAGACTTTGGGTAGGCTGAGGTGGGTCACATTCAATTGTATGATCTTGGGATTGGAAAGGGCTCGTTTACCTAAGGAAGGTCAGTTTACTAAATTACTGATACCATTGGAAGTGGGTAAGTGTGCCTGGCACCCACAGACGAATAATTGTCTTTTTAGTATTCTCCCCCCTCTGTCCAAAGATCCACACTTATGATATAGTAGGCCTAGTGCATAATGTTGTTGCTGTTGTTGCATTACTCTGTAACATATGGGGTCACCATGAGTCAGAACTGACTTGATGACAACCAAAAAGAAGCATGTAATAAGCCCATAGAAAGATTTGCTAACTATGCTGATGACCTCACTATAATGGAAGTGAAGGATTGTTGTTTCTAAACAGCGTAAGTCAATTCTGTTAAAAGAACAACTAAATATTACGTCCGTGTGGTTTCACTTTGTTAACTTAAGTTTTCGATTTTATATTTTCTATGCTATACAACTTTTCTATAAGGAATATTGTATATCAAAATACATAATTCCAGTCTAAACTTCCTCCCTTATCAACCGCAAACCTCTACTTTTTACAATTTAGCTTTCCTAGTAGTGGACATTTTAAAAAGTCCCATGGTATCCACAATTTAGCAAATTGACCTTCCCTGGGTAAACCAGCCCTTTCCCATTCTGAGTTGATGGAATTCGGTATGACCCACCAGCCTACCCAAACTCTTAAGTCAATCAGTGGCTCGCACCTTCTAATTATAGTGGCAATATATGTTCAATATGGAAACCCTGTTGTCACAGTGGTTAAGTGCTATGGCTGCTAACCAAGAGGTCGGCAGTTCGACTCCACTAGCCTCTCCTTGGAAACTCTATGGGGCAGTTCTACTCAGTCCTATCGGGTGGCTATGAGTCGGAATCGACAGAAAATCTGGAAAGTAGAAAGGAAAAACATCACTCATTTGACTATCTCCCACAGACAAAGACTTGAACCTTTAAAAGCAGTGTTTTAAATACTTGTGATCATACTGTATGTGGAGAGCAATTTCCTTTGATTTTCATTTAACCTTATAACCTAAACATTTCCCTTATGCTCTTAAAAACATATTAGTTGATATCACTGTAGTTTCTCTTTTCTAGTTGTAAAAAATTTGGCATGGTAGTAATTAATAAAATTATTGGAAAATTAACAAATAATTTAAGCAAAAAGAAAGCAATTAAAATTATCTGATTTCGCATCACTCTTTGATAATCATCTTTAATGTTTTGAAATATGACCTAATATATTTTTACCCTGCAAATACCATAAAACCTGTGAAAGTTGAAACCTGTGTAAGGCAGAAACCTGTCAGAGAAGGAAAACTCAAATATTTTCCACTAATAGACACTGATAGAAAAGGAATAAGACTGCACCCTTTCAAAGGTGGAAAACTTATGAGACCCGGAAAAACAAGGCAGTCCTTTGAGTTCCAGCTCTCACAGGTTTCACTGTACCTATCTATATATTTTTTTAATTAAAAAGGAATTATGCTAAACATAAAGCTCTGAAACTTTTTATACTCAACAATATGAGGTATGCATTCGTCCCTGTCTGGAGATATTCATCTACATCAGAACAGAAATAGTTGTTGCTATTATTACTGTTATATTAGCATGTGGCATGTGAAATTTAAAATGAAAACATTAGTTACTTAATCCATCACCCATTGGTGGAACTCAAAGTTGTTTGTAATATTTTTCATTGTTGTTGTTAGCATAAATAGTACTGTGAATGTCTAAATTACCTAGGACAAATTAAATTCTTGAAGTAGGATTGCTGGATCAAAAATATGCAAATTTAAGCCTTTTGTTCATATTGAAAAATTGCTTTCCAGGAAGCTCACAATAAAAACCCAAAAAAACCTCACTGCCATCAAGTTGATTCTGACTCATAGCAACCCTATAGGACAGAATAGAAATGCCCCATAAGGTTTCCAAGGGTGTAATAATTACAGGAGCGGACTGCCACATCTTTCTCCCACTGAGCTGCTGGTGGATTTGAACCATCAACTTTTCAGTTAGCAACCAAGTGTTTAACCACTGTGTCAAGTATAACTGTTTTCCTACACCCCTGCTAATAGGCACTATTCTTCTTTTTTTCTCATTTTTTTAAATTCAGGAAAATTTACATAAAATAAAATTCATCATTTTTAGTGTAAATTCTGCAAGTGTTGGCAAACATATAAAGTCTTTTTAATAATTGCCAATCTGATATGCAATAATGTTTTCTTGATGTTGTAATTTGAATTTACTTCTAAACTAGATATTTAATATGCCTATATTTATCAACCATATATATTTTTCAATAATGTATTCTATTTTTTTTTGTTGTTGAAAAAATACAGAGCAGAACATACACCAATTCAACAATTTCTGCTTGTGCAATTCCAGTGACATTGATTACATTCTTCAAGTTGTACAACCATTCTCACCTTCCTTTTCTGAACTGGTCCTCTCCTATTAACACAAACTTGCTGCCACCTAAGTTTCCTGTCTAGTCTTTTGAATTACTGATGTCAATTTGATCCAAGATAGATAGTTCTTTAAAACAGGACAATGTTCAAGGCAGACGTTCTTTAAAATTAAGCTAAATTATTGTTTGGTTTAAAGGAGACTTCACAGGGTTTAAAGATTACCTGAGGACAATAGCTTTGGGGGTTCATCCAACCTCAATGGTGCCAGAAAGTCTGTATTCCATGAGAATTTGGAATTTTCTTCCTCAGTCATATATTTTTAATATGTTTTAAATGCCTATTTGTTCCTTAGTTCATTTTTCTATACCAGTTACTAGTTGCTCTTGAGTTGATTTTGACTCATGACAGCCCCATTTATGTCAGTTCCGTAGGATCTTCAATGGCTGATTTTTTTGGAATTAGATAGCCAGGCCTTTCTTCCAAAGCTCCTTTAAGTAGGACTGAACCGCCAACATTTTGGTTAGCAGCTAAGCATGTTAACCATTTGAACCAGCCAGGGACTCTTGTTTTTCTATGAAGTTCCTAAAAGTCTTTTTAACCTACTGCATAATTCTCCATTGTGCAGATGTACTATGGTTTGTTTCTAGATTGTTTTCAATTTTTGGCAATTATAAATATGCTGTGGGAGGCGTGGTCAACATGGCAGAGTAGTTAGACGCTTCCTATAGCCCTCTTACAACAAAGACCTGGAAAAACAAGTGATTTGATTCTATGTGAACATCTGGCAGCCCTGAACATGGCAAGGTTAAGAAATCCATCTGAGTCATACTGGAGAGGAAGACCGTTTGGAAGAGGTGAGGAGTGTTAGAGCCGCAGCGGTGAAACTGCAAAGACACAGCCATGCCGGTCCATGGTGAAGCAGGCAAACAGCTGTGCTGTGCATGCACTGGAGAAGCAGTTTCCACATCGAGAGAGACACGGCAGCAGAGATTCTGCTTGGACACTCCAAACCAATGAAGAGAAGCTACCAAGAGGCTAGGATAAGTACTCGCATGCACTCTTTCACAGTGATTAAAAAAAAAAAAAAAGCCTATTTGGGAGAAACCTCTCTCCCTTTTACCTCCTACCTCTGCGCTCTGCACCGGATTTGGGAAAAACCTCTCCTTCCTCCCCGCTCTGCACTGGGAGTCCACTGGGCTGGAAGTAGATCCCATAAGGCACCCTGACCCATTCTCCTGGCCTTGGAGAGGGAACAAATAAGCTGCTGGCTCCCCTAGGCCAGGAACACAGGGTCGGCACAGCTCCTTTGCTGGCCACAGAAATCAGGGGTACGCAGACTCTGAGTGCCATACACCCTT